TATGAAACATGTACATCTAGAATAGTATTTTAGAAACATAAGTGGAAACAATAATACTAGCTTAAAATGGAAATACATAAGAAAACCAAAACTAAGCCACACATTTTTTTTTATTGGTAGTCAAATAATGACCGTACAATAGAAAAAGTTCAGTGCGGTGGTTAAAGTTATTGATAAATTACATCATCAATCGTCTAGTTGAAATAATATAATCTAAAATTATTAATTTTATTGAGTCTAATTCAATGAAATTATTGTATCTCATTCATATGGCTAGTGAATCCAAACTATATGTGAGTCTAAGATTAAGATACCCCATCATAAATTGTCATTGCAGTCAAGCGGTAACCAATTGATACCAAATACTCCTCACTGCACAATTAACCAAGAATGGCCACAGGAATAGCCAAAAACCTTCAATAAGTATTTTGTAAAAAGCATAACAATCTATATGTATGATGACAATTTCAAGAGATTCCAAACCCGCAATACTTCATTGATATAGTGTCTCATCATTACATACAAAGGAGAATTATTATAGACAATATCTAATGATAATCATCAGCAAACACAAACCTCATGGAACTGCAGATTTGATGAAAGGAATTGCCATTTGAAGTAGAAATTTGTTACTTTTGCAGTAATTTGTTGGTAGCATCTTCTTCTTCTTTCATCTTTCTCTCCCATATCCTCTTTCTATAATCTTCCAGGAGTTGTGGCATAGATTCCATAAGTACGGCAATTGTTTGTCGCTTTTCTATAGCTATTATGTCAAACCTTATGCCATTTATGGACATTCCTCATCTCCTTCCTTTCATGGCTAGTCTGCTCTAGCACATAGGACTTCTTCACAAAACTGAGCTTGACGCCTTGCACTGATACCAAGAGGTTTCCAGGTACCAACCTCCCAGTAACCCCAAACACCCTTCGATAGCTCATCCTTGTATTTTTCCAATTTATGTCACAATGGGACTTATACTCTCTCACTTCTTTCGCAATAAATTTTATTGCATTTCCAACCATCAAACTTCATAAGTCACTTTGTAAGTCAACAACCTAAAAATGTTCTTAAATCCAAGAGGATGGCTGCTGTGAAAATAACATATAAAATGAAAGGTAAAACGAAGAGTATAAACTCAAAGAATTTTCCTTTTTGAACCCTATCCACACCCATCTTCTCAATGCATCAGTTGTCAATAGAGAACTTAGAATACAAATAGTTGATGTTCCAAAATCAAATATGTATCTTTAGTTAAATGATAATTAAATAAACAAACATTCAAGCAAACCTTCATCAGAATTTCATAGCTGTCCTCAACATCCAGATCGATACATACACCAATCTCCACGAATCCGTTAGAACAAATTACAACTAGCTAGTTTAGACAATTTGTCAAACACCTTAACTCCAAACCTTCATAATTATTATGTTAACATGTGAATATATAAAAAATTTCATCATTTTTTTATATTGTCTATTACATCTATGAAATAATTTATTGTTTTGTTTATATGTTATATTTACATGTTTAAAAAATGTAATTAAATATATTTTTACTTTCTAAAAATTTGGGTGTGTTTAACTGTGATTTTAAATTAAAATTAATATTATTATTCGCATGATTTTTAATAAAATATATTACTTTTTTTTTTTTTTACAAAATATCACATGTTTAAATAAAAATTCAAATAAACACTTCAATTCAATTAATTTTAAACTATAATTTTCTCTTACAAAATTTTTAAATTTTCTTTACCATAGAATTTTCATAATTTTATAAATATATATATTTCCGTCACAACTAAAAGTGTTTTTTTTTTTTTTTAATTTTTGTTCATTTGACTCAAAAAATATTTATATATGAAGCACAAAGAAAAAAATTGTCAATACTGTATTACAAACTTCTGCTGACTATAAAATATTATTATTTCTTAATCTATAATAAAACTAAAAAAATAACCCATTTGAATTGGATCGGAGGAGTTATAAATTTTCTATTATATATATTACATCCAAAAATAGAAAATAAAAAATTAAAATTCAGTAAGTATCATAAAATAATAACACAAACCTTTAATATATATAAGATGGGCATCATTATAAATATTTGTTATATACACTGCCAAAAACCAGGGTATTAACCACGGGCGGAGGGTTCGTAACAATATCATCGTAATAAATAGATATTTTGGTTACGATAAAATTCGTGACAAAAGAATTTTTGTTCGGTCAATGTTTCAGGCACAGTTGTTACGCAGAATTTTACGTAACAATTAAGAATATTGAAAACTTTGGTCGTAACTAATGATATTAATTTATTTTTTTTCATTTAAATTTAATATTTGAAATTTTTAAAAAATTTTAAAAAATATATATATCTAATACTTATAAATGAACAAATGTACGGATGCCTACCTGAAAATCCTTTTCTACCCTTGAATGTGTTTGTTATTTCCGTTTCTATCCCCTCTCTTCCCTAACCCTAAAATCCTAGCAACCATTCCAGAAAGCCTCGCTATCTCTATCTACTCCACTGTTCGTCGCGCACCAGCCGCCTCCTGCTCCTTAGGTACATCATTTTCCTCTCTTCATTTCTTGTGTGATTGCTAATATGTTTTGATCTTTCTTTCTTCGCTTTCCGTGATTTGATTTGTAAGCTCTATTTTTTCTTTCTTGTTGTTCATTTTAAGGTGGGGACATACCAGAGGATCTCGTGATGCTCGTGTTCAGCTGCCTAGCGCCGCCGGAGATAAGCAAATTGGCGTGCCTCAACAGCGCATTTTGCGGCGCCGCTTCATCTGATGAGGTTCGGGAATCCAAGCTTCCGTGTCATTACCACCAGCTGCTTGATTTCCTCTCGCAATCCGACGTCTATCAACGCTTGTGCAAGAAGGATATCTCCGCATTCCTTTCCCGCCCCCTTCCGATTCGATGACGGAAAACAAGGACTATAATTTCCGAGCATCTATGAAAATGATCATCTGAACACACCATGCTGGTAGGAACCTTTAACCGCTTCTGCTTGGCTTGTGGCAAGTCTCACACACCTCCAATGATATAGGTTAGATCTATGAATTCTTAATATTCATCATTATGTTAGGAGGAGTATGGCTGAAATGCCAAAAATCAAATAATTGCGTTGAAGAAATTGAATTGCTTACTGCCCGACACACAACAGACTTACAAGGAAGTAAATACAGACCCTTATGCTCCTTAGCTGGTTCAATCTTCATCAATGATGGTTGGACCTGGAATGTGCACTCAAAGGAAGTAAATATCAGTTTAACATCAAGTTGCTTTGAGACAACATTAACCGACAATAGATTACATCGGAATGATGGAGCAAATAAGACATTCTTTAGGAAAGCATCCACTGAGATTAGAACAGTCCCGATGTGTGTCACTTTTACCTTGGTGTTTTTTGGAAGATCCACAGATAAGTTGTATACCGGATGTAAAGATGAAAACCAAGAAAAATTGTCTGATATGTGGTGTGTGGCACCAGAATCCACAATTCAAAAATAAGATAAATTAGGACCAATAGAATGCAAATCCCTGTTACCTGCAGAATTGGACCAAACTTGTCAAGTTAATGTGTTAGTTGCTGGTGACATATATGGGGACTGTTCAGTTGTGTTTAGGGTCAACAATAATTTCTTCATGAGCTCTTGGGACAAAGTTGATCTATCATCCTTTTGTTCAACACTTGCATGATGCATCCTAGTTGTTGATCCATTTTTTTTTCCTTTAATTTTGGTAAATTTGAAATCTTTGGCAACCCAACAAGTCTGTAGCATTTGTCCTTTGTATGTCCTTTTTTGCCACAATGGTAACACACAATCTCTCTTCCGTATTTCTTCTCAACAGTTGCTGCCATGATCGAAGATCGACTCCATGGATCAACTTGAGTATACCATTTTTTCTAAGATTCCTCCACCAGAACATCATTATAAGCTTCATTCAATGAGGGAAAGGCCTTTGGCTGAGAATTTGTGATCGAGTTTCATCATATCCTTCATTTAACCCACTCAAAAACCTGAAGACTTTGTCCTTTTCTTGTTGCTTTTGTTATATCATAAAACAATCTTCATTGCACTTTCTACATTTGCAATGTGGGGGTGGCCTATGAAACTTCAATTCTTCCCATATAACCGTGAGATTCGTATAGTACTCATCAATAGATTTTGTTTCCAGAATAATACCACATAAATATCCTTGCAGTTTACACACCCTACTATCATAATGGACCGAAAATCTTGTTTCTAAGACACTTCAAATTTCACGAACAGTTTGTATGTAAAACAAAATGGTAGCAAGTTGTGGTGATAAGGACTTTAAGAGCCATGCGACTATTAAATCATTAATGATTTAATAGGGAGAGTACCGTCCATGATGCATATATGACTTCATAAACATTAGGCTTAGGGAGAGTACCATCGATGAAGCCTAATTTGTTTATGATGGATAGCGCAAGTTTGAATGATCTACTCCAGGCATGATAATTTGGCTCTGTTAGCTCTGGTTGCACAAGAAAAAATCTACAACTATCGCTGGGGTGAATGAAGAATGGGGAGTTCATGTCTGCTACCTCCACTGCTCTTGCAATCAAAGGTGGAGTTTCTTCTCATGTCAGAGTAGTAGAGTTGCTTCCAGCCATGAGATTAAGTTTGAGACACTCTTGATAATCAAAACCTTTTCTTTGATACTATATCAAATCTATCCTAATAATATGATAACCAATGAATTGAAAGAGGCAGAGAATTGCTTAGAACAAAGATAAAATTTTTGTATATATAAATCTCCTCATAAGAGATGAAAACCCAAAGAACCAACCACCATGCAATCTATACACACCTATATATATACTGGATCTATCTAACAACCAAAACAAACAAACTAATTAGTCTACAACTGGATGGAACGCACTGCCTTGATTATGGTCCACACTAATTGGTTGGTTTTTGTGGTCCACGCAGTCTGTTACTGAATCTATTCCATTTTGACACGTCCAAATTAAAATATATCTAAAGAAGCATCGAATTACATGTGTTTGCGTGAATTGCTAGATAAAAAAGAAAGACATGCCTAGCATTCAGGAGATAAATCAGAAGCTAAAAATGATTGTGTAATAAGATGGATTACTATGAAATCAATTGTCTTTCTTAAAATGCACTGGATTACATCCGTTACACTAGACGAACCATGTGTGGCTTGTGACCTTGAGGTGTTGGAGTTTGAACCCATGACCTCACAGTCACAAATCCACCTCCACACCACCAAGTCATCTCATACGAGTCATCAACCTAATTATTTCTTTGTTCTTGAACACATAGCCTCCTTCGATTGGCAATCTCTTATCTTAATCTTCCTTAATGTCAATTTCGACAGCCTTATCGTACTTATTTTTGGTCAATGACCTGCCAAGAATAAGCAATGTCAGGTACTAGATGATTATGCTTTAGAATTTCCTTTTTAAACTCCCACATTTCATACGCCAATCAAATTTATCCGAATGTAAAATTCTTTGAACCTATCCTTGGATATAACATAACAGTTTCTCTTCCATCAACTTTCTTTAACTTACCATCTGCCTAATCTTGGGAGTGAATGTTGGCAAATGCACACACAAGAAGGGTGCGCTGGAATAAGAGAGTTCCAATCAGCCCCCATTTTGAGCAGAGCATCTGCAACCTCAAAATACGTTAAAAACCTCAAAAAACATTAAAAAACACCACCCTTTCTGAACACAAGAAACATAACATGTCAATCAATACATCCATCACTAAAAGAGAATGCAAATTGACTTCATTACCATTAGTTTTGAGAAATTCGAGGCAAGTGAGCCTACAGCAGGATAAGATAATCAACACTCTCTTCCCATTTACTTTCCTGACCACATCCGTTTTGTTACGGATTCTCGTTTGCTTCGATTTTTCACTATCATCATCATATTCATCGTCCCTGGAATTCATCCATGATCACAAATTCCTTATCCTTGACCCAGACATGATACTGAACCACAACATCCTTTCTCACGCCATACAATTTACCAGCAACAAAATTTAGAATGATAGGCAGACATCAACAGTAGAAATTATAGGCTAAACTAAGTCGTTCGACAAGTTTGGTAAGCAAAACAGTAGGATCCTGACCTTTTCATAATAAAGGAATGAGTTTGTCTTTTTGCTGGAAGAAACCATCGGCCTTTTCACCCTCAGTCATAATTGCTGAAAGAAAAGCATTTTGCTGGAAGGAAGTTATAGGAGTGGCAAAATGAAGAGATTTGTAGGGTTTTATAGAGATGTGAAGCGTCTTGGAAGAAGAAGCAGTTATATCGTATCATGCCATCAGATTGGGCAGTCGTCATTTCCCTTACAAAAGAGCAATCAGATTGGCCATCAGTCAATTTTATACTTAGATGCAATCGCTTATCTAAATTTATCCCTTTTGGAGTATGCCATCGAATATATATCTCAGTCTGCGTTTGTGTTTTTAGAGCATTGGTGATAGGTGACATTATTGCGATCAAGAGAGGGAAAGAAAAAAAGAACACTTGAAAACTTTTTTTACAGAACAAAAAAAAAACCAAAAAAAAGGAAAAACGTTTTGATTGCTGTGCAAAGCAATCCAACCAAATTTGTCTTCTTTTTTTAGAAAAATAAATAAATATTTTTTAAAAAAATTATATATTTATTTTTTTTTATTATAAAAAAAAAAAATTATTTTATGTGAAATAATATGCATATTTATGTGATCGTGCGTGACCGTGCGTGGTGTGAACGTCACGCGCGGTCAAAGAACAGAAATAGCGACTACACACTTGGTGTGAACTGCGCTGCCAAATGACTGAAATAGACTTTTGTAAAAATATAAGATAGATTTTGCCAGATAAATACAGGGCAAAACTGATAAAGGAGTATATTTGCAATTTTCACCCAAAGTCTATCAGATGAATTTAAACAAATATAAATATATATTTCATCCGTCCGCCTCTAAGGGTCATATTTACCTTTTGCGTCATTATATTTAATATTAAAAATATCCTTATATTTGTATAATTTTTTTTACAAATGTCCTTCCATTAGTATTATAAGATACTAATGAAAGTATTTTTGTAATTTTTTTTTAATTTGTACTACGTTTTGATATAATAATTAATATTCAAATATCAACATGCAAAAAGTAAATGGAACCCTTAGAGTCGAACGAAAATAGTATTACCAATTTTTGGGAATATGGGAATGGAAGTTCTTAAGTCGGACAAAAACATGAATTGTGCTAAAGTACGGAAACATTGCAGATTGCATCTTTAGATAAAGGCAATGATCAAATCACATATTCGTACAACCGTGAACAAGGCATACTCATATGTAGTCAAACAATCAAGGGTATAATCAACTTAATTATCTAGTAGTCATCCTTACAACAAGATATAATATATGTAATTAGTATACATTCATAAATGTCGATTGATTTTTAAAATTGTGGAACGGAAAGATACTAACACTAGTTTGATATTGTTGATGTAATTTTTCAACAAAAATAAAGTAAAATTCAAAGATATAGAAAATATCCTTAAACTTGATTAATTAGTGCCTGAGATTAGGAATCTCTAAACACTGTACGGTACAGAAAATAAACTGGAAAATAAAAGAGTGAAATTTAAAGTGGTGATCCCCAAATCTGACTTTGCTTTGTTGAAGTTGATTGAAGATACCTTGCCAAATGATGATCCAAACCTTTAAATATTCTCTGGGAAACCGTACTGAAAACCGTCACCCGAACGGTTACAACGTCTCCTTCCCAACCGTCTTCCAACCCTTTTCATGCTGACACGTGTCCCCAGCAGACCAAAATTATCCCTATATTTCATTCTTCGAGCCGACCACAGACCTTCCGCTCTTTTGGCCCGACTTCGTCCTTCGCCCGTCCTGCTTCTTCGCCCGACCTCACTTGGGCCGACCTCCGCATCAGCCGCCCTCTGTCTTCGATCAAAGACCTCCGCGTCTGTCCGTACCTCTTCCTTGCCCGACCTTCCTCTTGACAGACCTCCGCGTCTGCCCGACTTCGTCTTCTATCCGATCTACGGTTTACCCGACCTGCGGACTTCCCATCCTGATGACTTTCCGTCTTGAGGATCTCCCGACCTGAAGACCTTCCGACCTGAGGTCTTTCCGTCCTGAGGACCTTCCGTCTTGAGGACCTCCCGACCTGAAAACCTTCCGACCTGAGGTCTTTCCGTCTTGGGGACCTACCGTCCTGAGGACTTACCGACCTGAGGTCCTTCCGTCTTGAGGACCTACCGTCCTGAGGACTTACCGACCTGAGGTCCTTCCGTCCTGAGGACCTTCCGTCTTGAGGACCTCCCGACCTGAAAACCTTCCGACCTGAGGTCTTTCCGTCTTGAGGACCTACCGTCCTGAGGACTTACCGACCTGAGGTCCTTCCGTCTTGAGGACCTTCCGTCTTGTATTTTCCTTAGAAATAAATCTATTTTCCTTGATTTCCTCATGGCGTCCTTCAGCCAGTTCAATCAACTCTATTGCCAGGCCCATTCTTCTTTTTACCTTGGGCTTTTAACCTAATTCTAAATTTCGTACGTAACAACTTGCCCGCCGCCAAGGGACTTTCAAACGCCATTTAACAATCAATGTTTGGAAGTTCATAAATCACCACCCTCTTGAAAAACTCCCTTAGCAACTGCACCAGTTACTGCAACACTCCAGATTAACTTCCTTCTCCGCAATACGAGCTTTTGTGAATCACAATCCCAAAACACTCTAACCATGGCGAATCAATACATTCCTGCCCTTCCTTTCGACGGAACCCTCCCGGAGGGCCCATTTTCAGCCTCGAAAGTACTAACTCCGACGATCCGTCCATATTGCACTACTCCTGAGGACTCAAATCGGATGAGGGAAGTTTTGGAATCTCGAAATTCCTTGGCTATCAACAACCCTAACTACCAAGCAGTTCGCATTCGAGACAGCATCAAAACCCATCTCACGGACCCAAAAGATCCTTACCGCGCTTGGTATCGACGGGTAGCAGAACACTTCCAGACCCAATGGCGATCTCAAAAAATCGACCAAGCAATACTACTATCCACCATGCCTATAAACCTGCATGAGAAGGTGCTCTTGGCCATGTCTGCCTTCTGGAATGCGGAAAATGGGACTTTCCTCCTACCCTCTGGCCCCTTTGGTCCAACTCTTATGGACGTGGCAATGATCGCGCATCTCCCAGTCGTGGGTGAAGACCCTGTAATGGGAGCCCTAGATGGGCAGGAGCCATCAGAAGACCATCCAGGATGGTCTTTACAAGGTGTGAAGGAATGGGGTTGGACAAAGTTCGCAACCGACCAGCAAGGGGCTCCAGGGACCCCTGTGACCGACCGGGAGCATACTGCCTTTATCCTTTTTTGGCTTTGTAGGTACATCATTGTTTCCCCTTCCAAATGTGTTCTTCCTTCTCATCTCGACCTGGCCATTCATATCGCGTCAGGTCGGTTCTTTTCCCTTGGCACCCTGTTTTTAGCCAATCTGTTTGAAGGACTTACTAGAGTTAGCCTTCGTCTAACAGATAATGATAGTAGAAAATTAGATACTGCTGCATCGGGTCCTTTTTGGTTTTTAGAACTCTGGTTCCGTCTTTACTTCCCTAACGCGTTCAACTTAGGATCTCCGCCCACTATGCCAACCTCCGAAAAACATTTGGGATTAGCCCTCAACCGACTCTGTTCAGGACGCAATAAACTCCAATCTTCTGATCCAATAATAACCGCAATAGTAACGGATACCCGCAGTAACTCTCGATTTTCTATGTATAAAAAATATGCGGGTTATGCTCCCGACCATTTTTGGCCCTTTCCGGCACCAAATCCTCTTCCGACTCCTGAACCTTGTCCTCATCCCACCTATTCTTTTGCCTGGGACGTTGCCCTCAAGCCCAGGTCTCTTTTTAGCAGCAAAAAACTTGATAAAAAAGGGCAGAAAACTTTTTGCACCTTTAATTATGAACCTCAATTCATGGCGCGCCAGTTCGGCTGTTGCCAAGGTATCCCTGGACCCGTCGCTTGTCCTCATATAATTTTTCAAAGTCCCGACCGACGAGTCCTACCAAATTCAATCCCTTATTATATCTCCCAGCTCACCACGTATATAATTTCCAATTCTTATATTCCTTTCCGCTCCAACCCTGAGACTGTAGAAACATTCAATGAATGGTGGTCGGTTGTATGGCCCCTGATTTCCCCTGATGAGGGTCGGTTGCTGAACATACTCCTTCCCCCCCAAGGATTGGTTCTAGGGGCGGCTAGACACACTAGCACCCAGCCACAAACAGCCGCCCCGGGGACCGGATCTAGTGTTCCAATACGAAAAAGGAAAGCTTCCCAGCTGCAAACACCCCCGACCTCTGGGGCTGACCAGCAATCACCAGCAGACCTTGGAACAACTAGGACGTCCGCAAGGACCCGACCTCGACTAGGTAATTTTTCTTGAAACCGTGAACCAATTCACTATATCTTAACTTTGATTTCACTTATTTCATTCACCAGAACCGACCTTGGTGACACCGACCACACAACCGACGCCAGCCCCAGCCGACCATTCAATCGGACCTTTGGTCCAAACCAATTTGCCAATGAGCAGTCGGGCGGAGGACCCGACGAGGAGGCAAACCCTTCCTCCCGTACCGAGGAGTGGTCGGGTCAGGCACCCGACCAGGAGGCAATCTTTACCAGCAGTGCCTATAGAACCAGTAAGTTCTCTCATCAGCAATACTTAGGATTCTAATGACCAACTTTGATATATTTAATAACAATATTTCCATGATTTTTCACAGACACCTTCACCCATCGAATCAGCAGCAGGGGTCTCTTCGGACAGTGAGGGGACAACTTCCCAGATGGGTCAACCGCCATACATGGCATCAGACTCATCCATTTCGAAGGAAGGACCAACTGCCCTCGCCGAAGCTGACCCTCAAAACGACATCCTTGATGTTGCTGATCCCGAAATCGAAGGTGCCCCAGAGATCCCGGCTGCCGCCCAACCTGCAGCCGCCCAACCAGCAGCGGCGCTCCCTCTAGCCATCGAGTGGCAGGCAGAAGAACCACCTGCGGCAGCCCAACCTCCAGAAATGGAAGAAATGTCTTCGTCCGAATCGGAGACTTCTGTGAATTTGGTAAGATTAAACCAATCCATGCTACAATGTTTCTTTCAGAAAACACTAACTGTTTCATATACTACTTTCCATAGGGACCCAGGTCGGCACCTCAGCGACCATTCGCAGCAGCCGACGAGTCGGCTGCTGTTATATCAGCTGTCTGCCCTACTCGACCGACCTCATTGCTGCCCCCCTCACTGACAGCAGTCCACCCAGAGGTAACACATATCTTATCTAAATACATTTGCACCTCCCTTGGATTACTTATTGACATTGTAGGACT